AAGAGTCAGATGAGGCCGTCTAATGTTGGATTCACGCCACACATGGCCTGTTTTCCACGAGCAGAGCATGTTAAACGTTGTACTCCATCATGTTCGTCTATTTGTTTAAAGCCATAACCGTGATTGTAACTGTGCAGCCCGAGGTGAAAGTTCCTCTGGTGCATCGGGCCAAATCGACTTTTCAAGAGAACGATGCCCTCGAATCCCCTCTGAACGGGCTTCGTCATCGGTGGTAAAAATCCTGATTATTATCCGCCACAGTCACAACAGCTCCAGGTGGGAGAACGCCAGCTCACTTGATGCTACGCTAAGACGCTCCTCAGCTTTCCCACACCCAAGCAGGGACTTTCTCGGGTGGTGAAACTCTCTCCTCAGGACTTTCATTTAGTTCCTGCTGTGAAAACGCAGGTAGAGTTCCTCAAAACGTTCCTGCTCTCCAGAGGAAGTTAGGACAGTGTTCAAATCAAACCGCCTCCCGAACAGAAACGCAGTGCGGCTGTTGGATTTCCAAAGTTTTCTAACTACGAGTTTGGTTCAACATCCAAAACAGTGTCGGTGCCACAGAGATTTTAGAAACTAAAGAAAACGCTGTCAGGAATCCAGCTGTGCTTCATTATCTGTTGGAAACGCTTCAGGACGGTTTTATTACAAACAGATGTTTAGTTTTATTCATCGTTTCTGTGACGAAGGAAACTTCTTGTTATTTTTCTACATTACTGTTCGGTACTGATTGTTTGGACACCGGTGTGAGGAAGACTGCTCAGGAGATGCAGGAGGAAACTACAGCCAAAAAGAGTCCATGTTTGTCTGAAACGGAGCAAACGTTGCTTTTAGTACCTTAACGTGAGACGACTCGAGGGACTTTCCAGGGAAAATGTTTTTTGAGGTCTGTGGCCGTTGTTTCATCTCTTTTTGTTTTTGTGATCTCATGTTTGTGTGGCAGAATGTTCTGGAACAAAGTGGACCTTTGACAGAGGCTTATTTTGTCACTTGGACTGTTTCTGAGGCTCGTAGGGTTTCATTCCAAACAAACTGTGTTGATTTAAGGGTGAAGAACTTTCTGAAGGTTGTGAGAAAAGGATTTGTTTTATTCTTCAGGGATCTTGTTGCTCCATCAGGTCAAATTTCCTCCTTAAGAGCAAAATTCTAAACCTGTTTACAACATTCATGGTTCCCAGAGGATGGTTATATATAGTTTTAGACTATTTCCTCGACTCTCTGCGATCACGATCCAAATCTTTCTCCTGCAAATGCAAACCGACCACAAATAACAATAAATAAATCACAGAAAATGATTTCACACAACTAAAAAAACAGAAACACGACCATGAGATGCAACGTGACAGAAAAGAGACACGAGACGTCCACAGAGATGCAAAACAACTACACAAAGACAACAAAGAAACAACATCACAGACACAGTAAACACTAACATCGACAGATAAAGATTCAAAAAGACACAAAACGACCACAAAGAGACACAAAACCACCATGTAGAGACACTAAACACTTACAAAGAGGTCCAAAACAACTACAAAAAGACCATAAAGAGACCAAAAATCACTACAAATACACACAAGATGATCACCAAGAGACACAAAACCACCATGCAGACTCACTAAACACTTCCAAAGCGGTGCAAAACAACTATAAAAAGGCACAAAATGACCATGTAGACACACTAAACACTGACAAAGAGATGCAAAATAACTACAAAAAGAGACAAAATGACCATAATTAGACAAAAATTGAGTACAAGTACACACAAGATTACCACAAACAGACAGAAAACTAAGTCACAGACACATTAAAAAACTACAGAGATGCTAAAAAAGGTACATAAAGACACAAAACGACCGCAAAACGACCATGTAGACACACTGAACACTGACAAAGAGATGCAAAATAACTGCAAAAAGAGACAAAGTGACCATAAAGAGACAAAAATTAACTGCAGATACACAAACGATGATCACAAAAAGACACAAAACTAAGTCACAGACACACTAAACACTGACAGAGATCCAAAACAACTAGATAAAGACACAAAACCACCATGTAGACTCACTAAACACTGATAAAGTGATGCAAAATAACTGCAAAATGGCACAAAATTACCATAAAAAGACCAAATTAACTCCAAATATACACAAGATGACCACAAACAGACAGAAAACCACCAGTTCAACAGTAACCAACTACATTAAGACGTAAAACAACTACAGAGAAACACTAAACTCCATCATAGACAAAAACAAAGGTACAAAAATGTGAAATAAGAGCAAAAAGGCCCCATAAATCCTGTGACTGTGACGTCCACCAGTGTAAACTCATGTCCCAGACAGCTCTTAGATAATAAAGTGATTCCATGTTTCACGCAGCCTTTGGAGTGAAACCCTCCGTCTGTCCTGTTCCTCCATCAAGCTGCAGTTTTACTTTCACCCTGAGCTCTTTGCACTAAAGCAGAAGGACCGGCCTTAACGCGGGACCGTTCTGTTGGGCTGCATCGGTACCAAGAGATTACGCGCTCGTTTTGTCTTTATTTATGTATTTATTGAGGCGTGGCGTTCGTCGGCTCGTGTTCGTGTCCGTCTGTGTCGTTCATTCGTTGTTCGTTTGGCGGTGAAGATGCTGGAATCATTATTTCTAGTAGCAGCGTAGAGCTTCGTGTCCTGACTGTTCCTAGACCATCCATTAGTATTATTATTATTATTATTATTATTATTTTAAAGAGGAACGCCACCTTGAGACTGAACTGTAAGAGATTCTGTTTTACATTTTATTTTTCTTCTTGACATGTTTGATGAAGTTGCACTGAAGTGAAAAAACAAAAAAATCACATTTTGTTAAAAAATAAAAATCTGTAATCGATGAGATCCTCACGAGATCCTTTTATCTTTGTGTTTACGGATCGTTTTAGGCTTCGATGAGGCTGTTTGACGATTAAACGAATCCCTTCATTTTGCGTTTCTCAGCTGATCTTTGTCACGTTTTGTTTTTTAGAAAAAGGGCTGCTTTTTAAGACAAATCAAGACTTTTGTCTTCTCAAAATAAATGCCGTCTGTATCCCTCAAACGCCTGCTTTTGTCTTGTTTGATGCTATTGAAGTTCTATTATATGTTTGATTATGAAAGATGCTGAATTACTGCCGTTAACTCCCCAAACAAATGCACATGAAGCTGGTATTTATTACCTCGTTATGAATTCTGCTGCAAAATCTTTAATGAACCCACAGCAGCTGTTCAATCGACCTCGCGGCTGCAGCTTGTGATTAATTTGTTGATGTTAAATCCACTTTGTAGCTAAATCTTATTACATTAAAGTTAATCTGCTTTTAAAAACAAAACAGGAACAGAAAATACAAATTACACGTTGTACAGGTTTAACTGTTCATCAGGAGAGCTGCTGCTAAACACTGGACACACTCCAGACCTTCATCATCGATGTTCTGACCTTTATTTTGTTAATAAAAGTTAATTCCAGGTTTAAATGTCTTGATTTGAGCACCAGAAGCAGTTTTTGGTCATTTTTCTGACGCCACAAACAAGAATCCAGCTCAAATTTTCTGCAAAAACAAGTGGTTTAGTTTTGTTTTTTTCATTTCTTCTGCTGAATTCGTGTGTTTAAAACTTGCACAAATCATTTCCACATGCAGGAAATTTTTGTGTTTGTTTGAAACAAGAGAAGCAGCTTCCTCCACGTTGCAGTCAGACCGTTTTATTTTCCATTACATGAACACAAACGTTACAAAATGAACACGAAAGGTTGACACTTTTGTTGAATTTTGGTTGAAAAAAAACCCAGAAAAATAAGCCTGTAGAAGTAAAAAAGACTGAATAATTTCACTCCATGAAGTCGTTTTGAGGTGATTGTGACGCCCCCTAGTGTCACGTGGGAGAGAAACACGTATTTATGTGAACGTCAGGGTTCACAAAACTGCTTTTTCTTCAATCTGAAGAATTAACCAGCATGTTATTGAAACTACGTCTACGTGTAATATCCAAACTGCAGGAGTTGAAATTTTCAGAGAAAACAAGTCATACAATGTTATTTATGATGTAATTCAATCATTGTGGCGCTACAGAGATTCCTTCAGCCTACAAATCACATTCTCCCCGACATAATTAAACAAACTGGCAACAAAAATCATCATTTGTACATTTTTCACAGTGCAAAAAATCCTGCTAGTTAATACCCGTATTCAATCACAATATCTTTTAAAATATTGGCAGTATGATTTATTTCTCGCCCTGGTTTGAAGCTCAGAGTCTGTGTGACATTTAGCTAATAAATATTAAACTGTCAACACATACAGTACGTTATCTTCTTATTTCAGCTACTCCTCCTCGTAGCTCCACGGATGTCACCTTTCTTGGCTCGGCTGCCCCAAGCAGCAGTTTCTGGGTGTTTATTTGTGCATTTTTGCTCACCGTGGGCTCAATTTTCACTGCAGTATAAAATCCTGCTGCTCTACGATGACAGCACCACCACGACTCGAAGGAAAGAAAGAAAACTTTTGTAAGAACCCACAGGTGTCCCCAATACTGGAGGAAAAAAAAAAAGAAAACTCCAAATACTATAGATATTTAACATCTACCGACATCTGCGGACTACAAACCGCTACGCTATTTTTTTTTACCAGCCGTGTTACAGGAACTGTTCAGAAAAAAGCATTTACAGTGTTTGTGTATGTTAGCGGTACGTATTTAATGAAAAGTTAAAATAATCTCTCTGTGTAAGTATCTCATGTTACAACGTGGACACCTGCAGCTTATAGACAAGTGCGGCCTGTAGATGTACACATTTGTTTTTCTTTTTGAAGTGAGTGGGTGTGGCTTATATTCAGGTGCGCTCATAGTCTGGAATTTACGGTACATTTTTACAACTTCTACCAACGAGCTGTTTTTCACTCTACTTCTGCACATTAACTCAAGACGTTTCATCATGCAGAAAGTATCTTCCAACAACTTGTGGGCTGACTGAGGAAGTTCTCATCTGTGGGAACGTAAACATATTTTTCTCCCACAGACTCTTGTGGTTCACCCACGGTTGTCATCCGTCTCAGCTCGGCTGCCGGCCTCACCACTGACCCCTGCTGGTGCCGCCGTGTAACCGTCTGTTTTGAGTTCCACAGGATTTCTAAACCGAAGCACCGAAGTCCTGCTGACGTCCCTCCCGTCGGCCCATCTGGCCCGCCGGAAGTCCGACACCTGGTTCCGTTTCTTTGATCCACAGGAAGCCCACCTGAGTGCCGAAGTTGAGTCCGTCCCTGACGTGGGAGAAGAAGCCGTCGGGGCGACACGAGGTGCAGGGAGTCACGCAGGGACGGTCGGCCGCCCGGTCGTCATGGATGTTCTCGGGTAGAACGCCGCCGTTCTGGAGGAGAACTCTGGGAACGGTGAACAGAAGAAGAGCTCAAGATGTTTTTAGCTGCTCCATGCTTTATTTATAACATGGTACCAGAAGAAACACATGCAAAACACAGAAATGACTTCAAATCAATCTTACTTATAAAAACCTCCATTCCTTCGTCTACCCCACGGTCTAAGCGTGTTAAGTCAGGTGCTGCTCCTCAGTACAAGTCTTTTCTTGTTTTTGTTCTGCACGTGTGCCGTTTTGTTTTGTTCAAGCAGCAAATCAAAGCACAAAATACCAATTTTACAGTCACTGAAGACTTAAAAAACAACAAGCTGATGTTCACATTTCAGATGAGATTATGTTGTTTTGGGTTTTTAATCGTTAACCCTCTGAACCCCAAGAAGTTTTCAGGTGCTGCCTTCACATTTTCAGTCATTGTGGCTCATTTTTCACTGTAATCTAAAGTCTTCTATGGAAACAGCTTTAAAAGTGTATTTTACGCAGTTTGACGTATCTGTACCACCACAAATCGTGAAAAGAAAAAAAAAGAAGAGAGAAAGAAGTAAAGCCTCATAATGTTAAAATATGTCCTGAATTTGTCTTTTTGTGCACTCGTGTGGGTTGTTTTTTAATTTATCTTATATAAAATGGCCCCATGTACCTGTTGGCGAGGCGGATGTCGACGTGTGGTCGTTCAGATTCTGGGTCGGGGACACAGTCCGGATGGATGCCGGTGAAGTCCAGCGCCTGATGCCTTTCTAGGGTGAAGCAACAGGCTCCCACCGACGGACCGACCGCCACCACGACGTCGCTCACCCGGCAACCGAATCCTGTCACCATGGCATCCACAGTCGCCATGGCAACCCCCATCAGGGTCCCTTTCCAACCTGCGAGTTAACCAATTTTTTTTTTTCGTAAACTTTCATATGTCGCATTTGCGCTCAGATATTATAGCAAAATCCTCTAGGGGGCGCCACAAACTAAAAAATAAAAAATAAAGCATGAAATAAATTTACTCTAAAAGAAATGATCCAGTTTTCAGAATAAAAGTAGTAAAAGTAAAGGAATTAGTTTTCTTTCAGATATTTTAGGAGCATCCTCTAGGGGGCGCCGCAAGCTTAACAAAAGTGAAATAAAGGCAGTAATAGCATCATTTACGGGAGAAGAAATTATATAGTTTTCAAAATGAAACTAAAAGTGAATATTGCCAAGATTTAATTTAAAATCTATCAAATTTTTCTTCCAGATATTTTAGGAACATCCTCTAGGGGGCGACACAAGCTAAAAAAAAAAAAAAAAAACTAAAGTAAATAATTCCAGGAATTAATTTAAAATCTGACACCAGAGTTTGTTCTTTATCTTTAGTTTTTAAACACAGGAAGACATTTTTAATCCTATTCACACTTATTGATCTCCAGAAACGCCCCTGAGTGCAATACCTACCTGCGTGCGCGACTCCGATGACCTTCAGAACCGGGTCAGCGAACAGGATCGGCATGCAGTCGGCCCCCGGAGCCGCCAAGACGAGTCCGGTCTGGTTGGTCACCATCGCGTCGTAGCTCTCCGGCTCAGGTTTCCCCAAAACCCAGACGTCGCTGGCATGGTTCACCTGCAGGAACCAAAGAAAAATGTTCTGCTTTAACGGGGAAGTGTTTTGTTTTTATAGCAACAGACTGTAACGGAGCTTTTGACCCATCTCGTATGTAATCACATATATTTAAAATGGTGTGCAGTCCATCCTGCACAGGTTAGCTCAGGTGACAACAGCTCAGCACCTTGACCAGTCGTAGCGGTCGAGGGTGGAAGCCGGCGTGGAGGCCCAGTCGGCGCCGGTTCTCCATCACCACGGCGACGGGGTCCCTCCGCCTGCTGCTGCTGAACAGATTCAAAGAGGACAGGGTCGGGATGTAGGAGACGCCGCCGGTCCGAGTGCTGAAGCCGTGACCGAAGCAGCCTGAGACGAAAAGGGCGGGAAAAGATGTGAACACAGATAATCTCACACCAGACTCAGTTCAAAAATCTGCACATTTTATGGAACCCCATTAATTATTATTTCATACAAGTTGTTCTGCCTGAGCAGAAATGCAGTCAGCAGATGAGAAAAGCCTCATGAAGTGAGTAAATAGCTGAGTGGAGTTTGGAATGGGTTCTTCTCCTGGAGAGCATCAGGTAGGAGTTTCAGTTAGATGTTTGAATGTAGTTTGGTTCTTGACGAATAAAGTAAGTGATCAGTTCAAAGCGCTGATCAAAATTAACTGATTTTACGATAACATTAAACAGAAAAGTGGCAAATCTTCACACATTTTAATATCTACCAGAAGCAACTAACTCCCACCAAACTCCATTCAAATATCTATCGAATTAACAATGATGTGAGACACACCAACTCTGTCCATTCAAATATTTATTAATTTATTAATATTGCAAGTTAAAGTCCCTAAAATAATCTACCAATTTCATAACGGGCCACTGACTCACACCAAACTCCATTTAAATAGCTACCTATTGAATAATAATTTACTATTCAAACACTATTTTAATGATCATGTGAGATGACATCATGCTTAAGTCTGTTTAATATCTGAATGAAGATTGTTTTAATAATGGGACACAAACTTACATCCAACTCTATTTAAATATATACCAGTTTAATGATAATGTGGCACAAACTTATATCAATTCATTTTTAATATATATAATTTTAATAATAGTGTGGGACAAAGTCACACCAAACTCCATTCAAATATCGACCAATTTAATGACTACGCGAGGAAAACTATTTATTCCTGCATGTTTATATCTAAAAATCATGTCTTCTACTTGAACCGACCTGGGATCAGTGTGGACCGGAGCACCGAGACCTCTCCCTCCACCGGAGGCAGCTGCTGCAGAAACGCCGACACCTCTTCTTGGACTCTCTCAGCAGGTGAGACGGAGTGGGCGGAGCCTGTGCAGCCAGGACAGGTGAGACTCTCCGCCGGCCTCACCCGGTAATCAAAGGTGTACACGGCCGTAAACAGCAGCGCCTGGTACCGGAGCAGCACCTCCCGGCCCTGCGCGGTCGTCAGAACCCGAACCGAGCTCAGGTCCAGCCGGTCCAGAGTCTGCTTGAACCGGTACAAGCACTCCGCGGTGGAGCCCGAGTCCAGAACCTGCACGTTTCCGTTCCGATACGTGTCCAAAGAGCCGGGTTTGTCCCGGTAGAGCTTCCCGCACAGCAGGAACACATGCGGCTCCGGTTCCTCCAGCAGAGACGCGCCGGTGCGTTCTGGACAGCAGCCGTGGATCAGGTCCACCAGCACGGCCCGAGTCATCCTGGACGGGCGCTACGGTTCCTGCTCAGAGGTGTGAGGCGTCCCGCTGCTCGGCTGGTCTGTGTCCGGCAGCTGGAACATGTTCGGCTGCAGAAAGAAGTTGAGCGGAGCCCGTTTCCTGCAGCGCCGCGCGGCTCCGCCCAGACTGGAAATCCCTGCGCGTGAGTGGAAATTCTGCAGCGAGCGGGTTCCTCCACTTCTGCTGACTGCTGCTGAAGACTCACCGAGGTCAGAGTGCGAAAGGGAGCTTTTCTAATGTGTGCACAAGCCAGGGCACATGCCAGGGAAACATGCCAGAGGAACATGCCAGGAACATGTTGCAACTCTGGCAAAACCAAAGCTGCTCATGCAACACGTGGCTGAGAAAGTTAGCTTTAATATGGGCTTGAATGGAGACTGGTGTTAATGCTCCCTACATCTACACTGAACTGGTAGATTCTTGAATGGAGTTTGACGTGTGTTTAAAATGGTTTCAATCTAGTTTATGTCTTTAGCTTACATTACTAAACTTGTAGATTTTTGAATGGAGTTTGGTATTAATTTAAAATTGGTAGATTTTTGAATGGAGTTTGGTTGGTCATCCTTCTGTATTTACTTCCTGGTAGAAATTGTTTGAAACTTGAATTTAGTTTAACTCATTCAAGTCAAGGTTTAATGCACTAATACCAGTATTAGTAGATGCTTAATTAGAGTTTATGTCTGTAGCTTGGTATGTATGTAAATTGTTCAAATGAAGTTTTTGTCTTAAGCTTATATTCTCAAATTGGTAGAATCTTGAATGGAGTTTGCCATGTGTTTAAAATGCTTTAAATCTAGTTTATGTCTTTAGCTTATATTATTAAATTGGTAGAATCTTTAATAGAGTTTATGTCTTTAGCTGACATTAAAAAAAAGGTGGATTCTTGAATGGAATTTAAAATTGGCATATTTTTGAATGGAGTTTGGTAGGTCATCCTTCTGTATTTACTTCCTGGTAGAAATTGTTTGAAACTTGAATTCAGTTTAACTCATTCAAGTCAAAGTTTAATGCACTATCACTAGTATTAGTAGATGCTTAAATAGACTCGATGTCTTTAGCTAACACCATTAAATCAGCAGATTCTCAAGTAGACTATTGTTTAATTGCTAAATTTTTGAATGGAGTTTGGTAAGAGCTTGTCTCATGTTATTAAATTATTGGCTATTCAAATTGAGTTTGGTATGAGTTTGTCTCATGTTATTAAAGTATTGGATATTCGAATGTAGTTTGGTATGAGTTTGTCTTACACTATTGTTTAATTGTTGAATATCTGACTAGAGTTTGGTATGAGTTTATCTTGTATTATTTTTAAATTGGTATATATTTAAATAGAGATGGTGTGGGTTTATCTCACATAATTATTAAATTGGTAAATATTTGACTGGAGTTTGGTGTCAGTTTGTCTCACATTGTCTTTATATTGTTTGATGTTTTAATGGATTTTTGTTTGGGTTTGTGTCATGGTATTTTAAATTGGAGGATACCTGAAAGGAGTTTGGTATGAGTTTGTCTTACACTATGATTTAATTGTTAAATATCTGACTGGATGTTGGTATGGATTTATCTTGTATTATCATTAAATTGGACGATATTTGAATGGACTTTGGTGTGAGTTAACGTCATGCTCATTGAATTATCTCATGTACCAGAACTGATTTTGCTTTGGGTTTTTCTCCTGTTGTGCTAAACCACTATGTGTTTGACTTGAGGTTTGCGTTGGGTTTTTCTTGAGTTATTAAACACGCAGATGCTTGAATGTTGTTTGTCTGTTTGCCGTGTGAAGCTGATTGGCTCACCTGATTACCAGGAGGATGTGGGAACTTCTCAGGTTTGTTTGTTCACCACAGAGTCAGTTGTGTAATTAAACTTGCGCGCAATAAAAAGGAGGCTACAGGGAAACGCTGTGGAACCAGCTGCTGATGGTGTTTTTCTAAAGGTCAGAGCAGACGAAGGACTTTTGCTGCAGTCCAGACGTGCGGCTGCAACATCAGCATCCAAACTTCTAGAAAGATTTTTTTGCAGAAGCAGGCGAGTTGTTGGTCACATCAGCTGAGCAGAAGTGATGCGGTGATGGAGGCCGAGGCCCGACCCTGTGAACTTCTGCTTTGGGTTAATTCCACTTGAGGCCGTCGTTAAATGCTCGACCGCATGACGTTTATCTCTGCGTGTGCTTGAACTGGTTCTGCAGCGACTCTTCTGTTGATTAATGAATCCGTCTGAGTACTTTTTTCTTTTCTAGTTACTTAAATTATTTTATTTTCCTGGTTTCCTCAGTGACTGAATATCTTTTGAAAACATCGTCTTAAACTGAAGGAACATTTTTCACAGTTCTGACATTATTTGGACCAAAACACTTCTGAAGTATTTACAGGTTCACTTGTGTACTTTTACTTCTGATACTTTAGCTGCACGAAGCTCAAAATTCCAGAGTACTTTGATGCTTTATGTATGAACAGCTGAAAATACTTGAGTACTTCTACTCCTCATACTGTAACTACATGACATTACAAAACTACTTAAGTACTTTCACTGTTGATACTTTAAATCCATGAAGCTGTTCGTACTACCCAAGGCTGATAATACTTGAGTACATTTACTACTGATACTTGAACTACATAAAACTGAAAATACTTAAGTACTTTTCCCACTGATGCTATAACTGCATTAATTGTTAATAATTGAGTACTTTTACTGCTAATACTTCAACTACCTGAAGCCGATAATACTCGAGCACTTCACCACTTATACTTGAGTACTTTTCCGGCTGATACTTGAACTACACAAAGCTGAAATTACTTCAATACTTTAACTCCAGATACTTTAACTACATTAAGCTGTTAGTACTTGAATACTTTTATTCCAGGTAATCTAACTACATGAAGCTGATAATATTTCAGTATGTTTACTCCAGATACTTTAACTACACTAATCAGGCATTACTCGAGTACTTTTACTACTTACACCTGAGTACATTTCTTGCTGATACTATAAAGCTGAAAATACTTAAATACTTAAGAAAATTTAACTACATGAAGCTGATGATACTTGAGTACATTCACTACTGATACTTTAAGTACATAAAGCTGAACATACTGAAGTACTTTTGCTGCTAATTCTTTAGCTACATCAAACAGGCAATACTTGAGTACATTTACTGCTACTACTTGAACTACATAAAGCTAAAAATACTTAAATACTTTTACTACTGATACTTTAACTGCATTAAACCATTAATACTTGAATACTTTTTACTTCAGATAATTTAACTACATGAAGCTGTTAATACTTGAGTACTTTTACTGCTGATACTTGGACTACGTGAAGCTGAAAATACTTAAGTACTTTAACTTCTCATACTTTAACAGGATAAAGCTGTGAATACTTGAGTACTTTCACTCCAGATACTTTAACTACATCAAACATCTAATACCGGAGTACTTGTACTGCTCATACTTAAACTGTCTGAAGCTGATAATACTTGAGTACTTTTACTCCAGATACTTTAGCTACATGAAGATAAAACAACTCGTGTACATTTCATGCTGATGCTTCAAAGATGTGAAACTAACAACACTGAGATATGTTTACATTTTTCAATAAACTTCTTTAGTTATTTAGATTTTTATTATTTTTCCGTCCGTTACTGAACTAAACGGTACTTTTATACTAGAGTACTTTATACTTGAGTATTTTATACTAGAGTACTTTATATTTACCTCATGCTAAGCTGCTGTATTTGCAGTAACCGTCCAGCAGGAGGCGCCAGACGTCCAGTTCTGGCTCCACCACCTTCAGCCTTCAGCCTATTTGCCTCCAACTCTCTTTAGCTTCACACTTTAACGGCGTCCAGACCCACCAGGCCGCTGAACAAACATCCAAACACTTCATTCATCTCTAGTTTTGCTCTCCGTGCTGCTCGGTTCCGTCCAGAACGCCGGTTTATTCCACATCCGACCCGTCGGGCTGCAGCTTCGGTCCCGGCGGACGCCTCTGCTGCTGCAGAAGGCCTTTCAGTTGGCTGCCCTCTGGGACTGAAGCCTGCTGTCATGTCTCCTGCCAAGGTTACAGAGCTGCTGCTGCTGCTGCTGCTGCTGCTGCATCATGAACCCTCGTTCATCAGGCAGATCTCCACTGAGGTGGCGTTTGGTTTAGAGTTTAAAAAGCAGGAGGCTCCATCAGCCGTCTGTCACAGCTGCTCAGTACATCATGTAGAAACCGTTAAAGTTCAACTACAGACCAGTTATCAGCCCGTTAGAGGCTGTTCTGGGTTGCCAGGTTCCAGATTATCCTCCTTTTTATTGCATGTTTTGACTCTTTAACTGGAAACGCTGCAGATTTATTTTAGTTTAACCGTCTGTGAGCAGAACTCCAGACGGTGCAAATATGGAGAGAACAACACAGTAAATGTGACATTAAGATGTTTTTAAGGCAAGTTTCTTCATCTTTACAGTTATTAACACATGATGAAGCATCATTTTATTTTATTTTTTAACATCTCGTCATTAGTTTGACGGGTCTTTTCTTCGTAATGAAGAATTTAAACAGTTTGACAAAGTCTGAGGTGACGTCTTCAATTAAATGTCTCATTTAGGATGAAAATCAGCTTTTTTTTTTATATTGTGGGAAGTTTAAGAATTTTTAAGTCACTTTAAGTTAAAAAAGAATCTTAGCTGTAGCATTAAACATCAAATTTGTTCATTAACTTCATGCAAATACATATTTTATGTGTGTTTCTGTGTATTTTATTGATTTCAAGTTGATAAAAAACAAATACAAATAAAACTGAAAGCACAAATCCGTAGTTTGAAAGACTGGAGTTGAACAAATGAAGTGTTTTAGATAAACATGGACTGATCTATTTCAGCTGAAATCTACTTTCAGCGGTCAAACTAATTGTATTTTTTATTTATTCTTAACTTCCTACGACTTCTGTGGCTGTATATTGAATCTTATCGTACGTTTTCAGTCAAATTAGACAAACTGTGTCTCATTTGAAGGAACAAGTCTTTATTTTAATATATGTGAAGAAACTACAGCAGCAGGTTCTTTTGT